TTCCCACCCCATAGAATCCCATTCCCACCCCATAGAATCCCATTCCCACCCCATAGAACCCCATTCCCACCCCATAGAACCCCATTCCCGCCCCATAGAATCCCATTCCCACCCCATAGAATCCCATTCCCGCCCCATAGAACCCCATTCCCACCCCATAGAACCCCATTCCCGCCCCATAGCCCCCATTCCCGCCCCATAGAACCCCTTCAGCCCCCCCGTTGTGACCGCCCCCCATGCTCGCTATGGGGCAGGAGGAGAACATCTGCCTGCACTGGGCCTCCTTCACGGATAGGCCCCATTCCCGCCCCATAGAATCCCATTCCCACCCCATAGAACCCCATTCCCACCCCATAGAATCCCATTCCCACCCCATAGAATCCCATTCCCACCCCATAGAACCCCATTCCCACCCCATAGAATCCCATTCCCACCCCATAGCCCCCATTCCCACCCCATAGAATCCCATTCCCACCCCATAGAATCCCATTCCCACCCCATAGAACCCCATTCCCACCCCATAGAATCCCATTCCCGCCCCATAGAATCCCATTCCCACCCCATAGAATCCCATTCCCACCCCATAGAACCCCATTCCCACCCCATAGAATCCCATTCCCACCCCATAGAATCCCATTCCCGCCCCATAGAACCCCATTCCCACCCCATAGAATCCCATTCCCGCCCCATAGAACCCCATTCCCGCCCCATAGCCCCCATTCCCGCCCCATAGAACCCCTTCAGCCCCCCCGTTGTGACCGCCCCCCATGCTCGCTATGGGGCAGGAGGAGAACATCTGCCTGCACTGGGCCTCCTTCACGGATAGGCCCCATTCCCGCCCCATAGAATCCCATTCCCACCCCATAGCCCCCATTCCCACCCCATAGAATCCCATTCCCACCCCATAGAACCCCATTCCCACCCCATAGAACCCCATTCCCGCCCCATAGAATCCCATTCCCACCCCATAGAATCCCATTCCCGCCCCATAGAACCCCATTCCCACCCCATAGAACCCCATTCCCGCCCCATAGCCCCCATTCCCGCCCCATAGAACCCCTTCAGCCCCCCCGTTGTGACCGCCCCCCATGCTCGCTATGGGGCAGGAGGAGAACATCTGCCTGCACTGGGCCTCCTTCACGGATAGGCCCCATTCCCGCCCCATAGAATCCCATTCCCACCCCATAGCCCCCATTCCCACCCCATAGAATCCCATTCCCACCCCATAGAATCCCATTCCCACCCCATAGAACCCCATTCCCACCCCATAGAACCCCATTCCCGCCCCATAGAATCCCATTCCCACCCCATAGAATCCCATTCCCACCCCATAGAATCCCATTCCCGCCCCATAGAACCCCATTCCCACCCCATAGAATCCCATTCCCGCCCCATAGAACCCCATTCCCGCCCCATAGCCCCCATTCCCGCCCCATAGAACCCCTTCAGCCCCCCCGTTGTGACCGCCCCCCATGCTCGCTATGGGGCAGGAGGAGAACATCTGCCTGCACTGGGCCTCCTTCACGGATAGGCCCCATTCCCGCCCCATAGAATCCCATTCCCACCCCATAGCCCCCATTCCCACCCCATAGAATCCCATTCCCACCCCATAGAATCCCATTCCCACCCCATAGAACCCCATTCCCACCCCATAGCCCCCATTCCCACCCCATAGAATCCCATTCCCACCCCATAGAATCCCATTCCCACCCCATAGAACCCCATTCCCACCCCATAGAACCCCATTCCCGCCCCATAGAATCCCATTCCCACCCCATAGAATCCCATTCCCACCCCATAGCCCCCATTCCCGCCCCATAGAACCCCATTCCCACCCCATAGAATCCCATTCCCACCCCATAGAACCCCATTCCCGCCCCATAGAACCCCATTCCCACCCCATAGAATCCCATTCCCGCCCCATAGAACCCCATTCCCGCCCCATAGCCCCCATTCCCACCCCATAGAATCCCATTCCCACCCCATAGAACCCCATTCCCGCCCCATAGAATCCCATTCCCACCCCATAGAATCCCATTCCCACCCCATAGAATCCCATTCCCGCCCCATAGAACCCCATTCCCGCCCCATAGAACCCCATTCCCACCCCATAGAACCCCATTCCCGCCCCATAGCCCCCATTCCCGCCCCATAGAACCCCTTCAGCCCCCCCGTTGTGACCGCCCCCCATGCTCGCTATGGGGCAGGAGGAGAACATCTGCCTGCACTGGGCCTCCTTCACGGATAGGCCCCATTCCCACCCCATAGAATCCCATTCCCACCCCATAGAACCCCATTCCCGCCCCATAGAATCCCATTCCCACCCCATAGAATCCCATTCCCGCCCCATAGCCCCCATTCCCACCCCATAGAATCCCATATCCGCCCCATAGAATCCCATTCCCACCCCATAGAATCCCATTCCCACCCCATAGAATCCCATTCCCACCCCATAGAACCCCATTCCCGCCCCATAGAATCCCATTCCCACCCCATAGAATCCCATTCCCGCCCCATAGAATCCCATTCCCGCCCCATAGAATCCCATTCCCACCCCATAGAATCCCATTCCCGCCCCATAGCCCCCATTCCCACCCCATAGAATCCCATATCCGCCCCATAGAATCCCATTCCCACCCCATAGAATCCCATTCCCGCCCCATAGAATCCCATTCCCACCCCATAGAATCCCATTCCCACCCCATAGCCCCCATTCCCGCCCCATAGAATCCCATTCCCACCCCATAGAACCCCGTTCCCACCCCATAGAATCCCATTCCCGCCCCATAGAACCCCATTCCCACCCCATAGAACCCCATTCCCGCCCCATAGAATCCCATTCCCACCCCATAGAATCCCATTCCCACCCCATAGCCCCCATTCCCACCCCATAGCCCCCATTCCCGCCCCATAGAATCCCATTCCCACCCCATAGAACCCCATTCCCACCCCATAGCCCCCATTCCCACCCCATAGAATCCCATTCCCACCCCATAGAATCCCATTCCCGCCCCATAGCCCCCATTCCCGCCCCATAGAACCCCTTCAGCCCCCCCGTTGTGACCGCCCCCCATGCTCGCTATGGGGCAGGAGGAGAACATCTGCCTGCACTGGGCCTCCTTCACGGATAGGCCCCATTCCCACCCCATAGAATCCCATTCCCACCCCATAGAATCCCATTCCGACCCCTTAGAATCCCATTCCCGCCCCATAGAATCCCATTCCCGCCCCATAGAACCCCATTCCCACCCCATAGAATCCCATTCCCACCCCATAGAATCCCATTCCCGCCCCATAGAATCCCATTCCCGCCCCATAGAATCCCATTCCCACCCCATAGAATCCCATTCCCACCCCATAGCCCCCATTCCCGCCCCATAGAACCCCTTCAGCCCCCCCGTTGTGACCGCCCCCCATGCTCGCTATGGGGCAGGAGGAGAACATCTGCCTGCACTGGGCCTCCTTCACGGATAGGCCCCATTCCCACCCCATAGAATCCCATTCCCACCCCATAGAACCCCATTCCCACCCCATAGAATCCCATTCCCACCCCATAGAACCCCATTCCCACCCCATAGAATCCCATTCCCACCCCATAGCCCCCATTCCCACCCCATAGAACACCATTCCCACCCCATAGAACCCCATTCCCACCCCATAGAATACCATTCCCGCCCCATAGAATCCCATTCCCACCCCATAGAATCCCATTCCCACCCCATAGAACCCCATTCCCACCCCATAGCCCCCATTCCCGCCCCATAGAATCCCATTCCCGCCCCATAGCCCCCATTCCCACCCCATAGAACCCCATTCCCACCCCATAGCCCCCATTCCCACCCCATAGAATCCCATTCCCGCCCCATAGCCCCCATTCCCGCCCCATAGAATCCCATTCCCACCCCATAGCCCCCATTCCCGCCCCATAGAATCCCATTCCCACCCCATAGAATCCCATTCCCACCCCATAGAATCCCATTCCCACCCCATAGAATCCCATTCAAACCCCATAGAATCCCATTCCCACCCCATAGAACCCCATTCCCACCCCATAGAATCCCATTCCCACCCCATAGAATCCCATTCCCACCCCATAGAACCCCATTCCCACCCCATAGAATCCCATTCCCCCCCCATAGCCCCCATTCCCCCCCCATAGAATCCCATTCCCACCCCATAGCCCCCATTCCCGCCCCATAGAATCCCATTCCCGCCCCATAGCCCCCATTCCCACCCCATAGAACCCCATTCCCACCCCATAGAATCCCATTCCCACCCCATAGAATCCCATTCCCACCCCATAGCCCCCATTCCCCCCCCATAGAATCCCATTCCCACCCCATAGCCCCCATTCCCGCCCCATAGAATTTCATTCCCACCCCATAGCCCCCATTCCCGCCCCATAGAATCCCATTCCCACCCCATAGAATCCCATTCCCACCCCATAGAATCCCATTCCCACCCCATAGAATCCCATTCAAACCCCATAGAATCCCATTCCCACCCCATAGAACCCCATTCCCACCCCATAGAATCCCATTCCCACCCCATAGAATCCCATTCCCACCCCATAGAATCCCATTCAAACCCCATAGAATCCCATTCCCACCCCATAGAACCCCATTCCCACCCCATAGAATCCCATTCCCACCCCATAGAATCCCATTCCCACCCCATAGAATCCCATTCAAACCCCATAGAATCCCATTCCCACCCCATAGAACCCCATTCCCACCCCATAGAATCCCATTCCCGCCCCATAGAATCCCATTCCCGCCCCATAGCCCCCATTCCCGCCCCATAGAATCCCATTCCCACCCCATAGCCCCCATTCCCACCCCATAGAATCCCATTCCCACCCCATAGCCCCCATTCCCACCCCATAGAACCCCATTCCCGCCCCATAGAACCCCATTCCCACCCCATAGCCCCCATTCCCGCCCCATAGAACCCCTTCAGCCCCCCCGTTGTGACCGCCCCCCATGCTCGCTATGGGGCAGGAGGAGAACATCTGCCTGCACTGGGCCTCCTTCACGGGCAGCGCTGAGATCGCCCAGGTCCTCCTGGATGCTCGCTGCGACCTCCACGCCGTCAACTGCCATGGGGACACCCCCCTGCACATCGCCGCCAGGGAGAGCTACCACGACTGCGTGCTGTATGGGGGGCGCTATGGGGCGCTGTGGGGCGAGAGGGGGGCGCTATGGGGCGCTATGGGGCGAGAGGGGGGCGCTATGGGGTGCTATGGGGCGAGACGGGGTCGCTATGGGGCGCTATGGGGCGAGAGGGGGACGCTATGGGGCGAGAGGGGGCAAGAGGGGGTCGCTATGGGGTGCTATGGGGCGCTATGGGGTGCTATGGGGCGCTGTGGGGCGAGAGGGGGGCGCTATGGGGCGAGAGGGGGACGCTATGGGGCGAGAGGGGGCAAGAGGGGGTCGCTATGGGGTGCTATGGGGTGCTATGGGGTGCTATGGGGCGAGAGGGGGGCGCTATGGGGCGAGAGGGGGGCGCTATGGGGCGAGAGGGGGCGCTATGGGGCGCTATGGGGCGAGAGGGGGGCGCTATGGGGCGAGAGGGGGTCGCTATGGGGCGCTATGGGGCGAGAGGGGGGCGCTATAGGGCGAGAGGGGGTCGCTATAGGGCGAGAGGGGGTCGCTATGGGGCGAGAGGGGGTTGCTATGGGGCGAGAGGGGGGCGCTATGGGGCGAGAGGGGGTCGCTATGGGGCGCTATGGGGCAAGAGGGGGGCGCTATGGGGCGAGAGGGGCTCTTGGAATGGGTTTCATGGGGTTTGAAGGAGCTGTGGGGGGTTCGTAGTGGCCTGGGCTGCATCCTCTATGGGGTGCTATGGGGCGCTATGGGGTGCTATGGGGCGAGAGGGGGTCGCTATGGGGCGAGAGGGGGGCGCTATGGGGCGCTATGGGGCGAGAGGGGGGCGCTATGGGGCGCTATGGGGCGAGAGGGGGCGCTATGGGGTGCTATGGGGCGAGAGGGGGGCGCTATGGGGCGCTATGGGGCGAGAGGGGGGCGCTATGGGGCGAGAGGGGGGCGCTATGGGGCGAGAGGGGGTCGCTATGGGGCGCTATGGGGTGAGAGGGGGGCGCTATGGGGCGCTATGGGGCGCTATGGGGCGAGAGGGGGGCACTATGGGGGGCTTGGAATGGGTTTCCTGGGGGTTGAAGGGGATATGGGGGGGGTGAGGGGATGGGGATGCGTTCGCTATGGGGCGCTATGGGGCGCTATGGGGCGAGAGGGGGTCGCTATGGGGTGCTATGGGGCACTATGGGGCGCTATAGGGGGTCTTGGAATGGGTTTCATGGGGTTTGAAGGGGATATGGGGGGTTCATAGGGGCCTGAGCGGCTGGGGGTGTCTCTATAGGTCTCCATAGGTCCCTATAGGCTCTCTATAGGGTATCCATGGGGTCTCTATGGGGTCTCTATAGGGTCTCTATAGGGTATCCATAGGGTCTCTATGGGGTCTCTATAGGGTCTCTATAGGGTCTCTATAGGGTATCCATAGGGTCTCTATAGGGTATCCATAGGGTCTCTATGGGGTCTCTATAGGGTCTCTATAGGGTCTCTATAGGGTATCCATAGGGTCTCTATAGGGTATCCATAGGGTCTCTATAGGGTATCCATAGGGTCTCTATGGGGTCTCTATAGGGTATCCATAGGGTCTCTATGGTGTCTCTATTGGGTCTCTATGGGGTCTCTATAGGGTATCCATAGGTTTTCTATGGGGTCTCTATAGGCTCTCTATGGGGTCTCTATAGGCTCTCTATGGGGTCTCTATAGGCTCTCTATAGGCTCTCTATGGGGTCCCTATAGGCTCTCTATAGGCTCTCTGTAGGCTCTCTATGGGGTCTCTATAGGGTCTCTATGGGGTCTCTATGGGGTCCCTATAGGCTCTCTATAGGCTCTCTATGGGGTCTCTATAGGCTCTCTATAGGCTCTCTATAGGCTCTCTATGGGGTCCCTATAGGGTCTCTATGGGGTCTCTGTGGGTCTCTATGGGGTCTCTATAGGCTCTCTATAGGTTCTCTATAGGCTCTCTATGGGGTCTCTATGGGCTCTCTATAGGCTCTCTGTAGGCTCTCTGTAGGCTCTCTATGGGGTCTCTATAGGTTCTCTATAGGCTCTCTATGGGGTCTCTATGGGCTCTCTATAGGCTCTCTATAGGCTCTCTATGGGGTCTCTATGGGGTCTCTATAGGCTCTCTATGGGGTCTCTATAGGCTCTCTATAGGTTCTCTATAGGCTCTCTATGGGGTCTCTATGGGGTCTCTATAGGCTCTCTATGGGGTCTCTATAGGCTCTCTATGGGGTCTCTATGGGCTCTCTATAGGCTCTCTGTAGGCTCTCTGTAGGCTCTCTATGGGGTCTCTATAGGGTCTCTATAGGCTCTCTATAGGGTCTCTATAGGCTCTCTGTAGGCTCTCTGTAGGCTCTCTATAGGTTCTCTATAGGCTCTCTATGGGGTCTCTATGGGCTCTCTATAGGCTCTCTGTAGGCTCTCTGTAGGCTCTCTATGGGGTCTCTATAGGGTCTCTATAGGCTCTCTATAGGGTCTCTATAGGCTCTCTGTAGGCTCTCTATAGGCTCTCTATGGGGTCTCTATGGGGTCTCTATAGGCTCTCTCTGGGGTCTCTCTGGGCTCTCCATAGGTCCCTGTAGGCTCCCTGTCTCTCTGTGCCCCCCAGGCTGTTCCTGTCCCGTGGGGCAGACCCCGAGCTCCGCAACAAGGAGGGTGACTCCCCCCTAGAGCTGACCCCCGAGCGCTCCGATGTGTGGGTCTCGCTCCAGCTCACCCGCAAGCTGCGCCAGGGGGCCCTGGCCCGGGGGCTGCGCACCGAGCGCATCGTCAGCAGGTACCTGTGGGGCGCTGTGGGGCGCTAAGGGACGGGGGTCTTATGATGGGGGGGCTATGGGGGGGCTATGGGGGGGGCTATGGGGGGGCTATGGGTCTCTAGAGGGGGCTGTGGGGGTCCTATGGGTCTCTATGGGGGGCTATGGGGGTCCTATGGGTCTCTGTGGGGGGCTATGGGGGTCTATGGGGGTCTATGGGGGTCCTATGGGGGTCCTATGGGGGTCTATGGGGGTCCTATGGGTCTCTAGAGGGGGCTATGGGGGTCCTATGGGGGTCCTATGGGGGTCCTATGGGACTCTAGAAGGGGCTATGGGAGTCCTATGGGCCTCTATGGGGGTCCTATGGGGGTCTATGGGGGTCCTATGGGTCTCTAGAGGGGGCTGTGGGGGTCCTATGGGTCTCTATGGGGGGCTATGGGGGTCTATGGGGGTCCTATGGGCCTCTATGGGGGTCCTATAGGTGTCTATGGGGGTCCTATGGGGGTCCTATGGGTCTCTAGAGGGGGCTGTGGGGGTCCTATGGGTCTCTATGGGTGTCCTACGGGGGTACTGTGGGGGTCCTATGGGGGTCTATGGGGGTCCCTATGGGGGTCTATGGGGGGCTATGGGGGTCCTATGGGCCTCTAGAGGGATCTATGGGGGTCCTATGGGTCTCCATGGGGGTCTATGGGGGTCCTATGGGGGTCTATGGGTGTCCTATGGGGGTCCTATGGTTCTCTAGAGGGGTCCTATGGGGGGCTATGGGGGTCCTATGGGGGGCTATGGCGTTCCTATGGGGGTCTATGGGGGTCCTGTGGGTCACTGTGGGGATCCTATGGGGGTCCTATGGGGGTCCTATGGGACTCTAGAAGGGGCTATGGGAGTCCTATGGGCCTCTATGGGGGTCCTATGGGCCTCTACGGGGGTCCTATGGGGGTCTATGGGGGTCCTATGGGTCTCTAGAGGGGCCTGTGGGGGTCCTATGGGTCTCTATGGGGGGCTATGGGGGTCTATGGGGGTCCTATGGGGCTCTAGAGCGGGCTATGGGGGTCCTATGGGGGTCTATGGGTGTCCTACGGGGGTCCTGTGGGGATCCTATGGGGGTCTATGGGGGTCCTATGGGACTCTAGAGGGGTCCTATGGGGGTCTATTGGGGTCTATGGGTGTCCTACGGGGGTCCTGTGGGGGTCCTATGGGGGTCTATGGGGGGTCCTATGGGCCTCTAGGAGGGGCTATGGGGGTCCTATGGGGGTCTGTAGGGTTCTCTAGGGGTCCATTAGGGTCCTATGGGGCTCCTATAGGGGGTTATAGGCGCATCCCTGCATCCCTTGGGTACCATTGATGCTCGGTGGTACCCAACAGCATCCCTTGGGTACCATTGATGCTCGGTGGTACCTGGAGCATCCCTTGGGTACCACTGATGCTCGGTGGTACCTGGAGCATCCCTTGGGTACCATTGATGCTCGGTGGTACCCAAGAGCATCCCTTGGGTACCATTGATGCTCGGTGGTACCCAAGAGCATCCCTTGGGTACCATTGATGCTCGGTGGTACCTGGAGCATCCCTTGGGTGCCATTGATGCTCGGTGGTACCTGGAGCATCCCATGGGTACCATTGATGCTCGGTGGTACCCGAGAGCATCCCTTGGGTACCATTGATGCTCGGTGGTACCTGGAGCATCCCTTGGGTACCATTGATGCTCGGTGGTACCCAAGAGCATCCCATGGGTACCATTGATGCTCGGTGGTACCTGGAGCATCCCATGGGTACCATTGATGCTCGGTGGTACCCAACAACATCCCTTGGGTACCATTGATGCTCGGTGGTACCCAAGAGCATCCCTTGGGTACCATTGATGCTCGGTGGTACCCAACAGCATCCCTTGGGTACCATTGATGCTCGGTGGTACCCAAGAGCATCCCTTGGGTACCATTGATGCTCGGTGGTACCCAACAGCATCCCTTGGGTACCATTGATGCTCGGTGGTACCCGAGAGCATCCCTTGGGTACCATTGATGCTCGGTGGTACCCAAGAGCATCCCTGCATCCCTGCATCCCTAGGGATGTGGCGCGGGGCTACGAGAACGTGCCCATCCCCTGCGTCAATGGGGTGGACGAGGAGCCCTGCCCCCAGGATTACAAATACATCGCCGAGAACTGCGAGACCTCCACCATGAACATCGACCACAACATCACCCACCTCCAGGTGCGCCCTATAGGGCGGCTATGGGGCGACGGGGATGGGGGGAATGGGGTCCTATGGGGCTGTTGGGCGGGGGGGTCTGTGGGGTTCTAGAGGGGTCTTATGGGGGTTCGGTGGGGTTGCTTGGGGGGTACTGTGGGGCTCTGGGGGGGTCCTGTGGGGCGATATGGGGTTCTATGGGGTGCTATGGGGGTTCTATGGGGCTCTGTCGGTCTTCTATGGGGGTCCTGTGGGGCTCTATGGGGTCCTATGGGGTGATATGGGGTCCTATGGGGGTTCTATGGGGCTCTATCGGTCTTCTATGGGGGTCCTGTGGGGCTCTATGGGGTCCTATGGGGTGATATGGGGTCCTATGGGGGTTCTATGGGGCTCTATCGGTCTTCTATGGGGGTCCTGTGGGGCTCTATGGGGTCCTGTGGGGTGATATGGTGTCCTATGGGGTGATATGGGGTCCTATGGGGGTTCTGTGGGGCTCTATGGGGGTCCTGTGGGGGTTCTGTGGGGTTCTATGGGGGTTCTGTGCAGCCCTGTGGGTCCCTATGGATCCCTATGGGTCTCTATGGATCCCTATGGGTCCCTATGTGTCCCTATGTTCCCTATGGGTCCCTATGGTCCCTATGGATCCCTATGGATCCCTATGGGTCTCTATGTATCCCTATGTGTCCCTATGGGTCTCTATGGGTCCCTATGGGTCCCTATGGGTCTCTGTGTGTCCCTATGTATCCCTATGTATCCCTATGGGTCCCTATGGGTCCCTATGAGTCCCTATGGGTCTCTATGGCTCTCTATGGGTCCCTATGGGTCGCTATGGGTCCCTATGGATCCCTATGTGTCCCTATGTGTCCCTATGGGTCCCTATGTTCCCTATGGGTCCCTATGGTTCCCTATGTATCCCTATGGGTCTCTATTTATCCCTATGTGTCCCTATGGGTCCCTATGTATCCCTATGTGTCCCTATGGATCCCTATGGGTCTCTATGTGTCCCTATGGGTCTCTATGGGTCGCTATGGGTCCCTCTCTGTCCCCCCCCCAGCACTGCACGTGCCAGGACGATTGCTCCTCCAGCAACTGCCTCTGCGGGCAGCTCAGCATCCGCTGCTGGTACGACAAGGTGAGAGCCTATGGGGCAGCCCTATAGCCTATGGGGCACAATATATCCTATGGGGCAGCCTAGAGCCTATGGGGCACAGTATATCCTATGGGGCAGCCCTATATCCTATGGGGCACAATATATCCTATGGGGCAGCTCTATACCCTATGGGGCACAATATATCCTATGGGGCAGCCCTATATCCTATGGGGCACAATATATCCTATGGGGCAGCCCTATACCCTATGGGGCACAATATATCCTATGGGGCAGCCCTATACCCTATGGGGCACAATATATCCTATGGGGCACGCTAGAGCATATGGGGCAGCCTAGAGCCTATGGGGCACAATATATCCTATGGGGCAGCCCTATACCCTATGGGGCAGCCTAGAGCCTATGGGGCAGCCCTATACCCTATGGGGCAGCCTAGAGCCTATGGGGCAGCCTATACCCTATGGGGCACCCCTATATCCTATGGGGCACCCTATACCTTATGGGGCACCCCTATATCCTATGGGACACCCTATACCCTATGGGGCACCCCCTATATCCTATGGGACACCCTATACCCTATGGGGCAGCCCTATACCCTATGGGGCAGCCTAGAGCCTATGGGGCACAATATATCCTATGGGGCACCCTATACCCTATGGGGCAGCCTAGAGCCTATGGGGCAGCCCTATACCCTATGGGGCACAATATATCCTATGGGGCACGCTAGAGCATATGGGGCAGCCTAGAGCCTAAGGGGCACAATATATCCTATGGGGCACCCTATACCCTATGGGGCAGCCTAGAGCCTATGGGGCAGCCCTATACCCTATGGGGCACAATATATCCTATGGGGCAGCCTATACCCTATGGGGCAGCCTAGAGCCTATGGGGCACAATATATCCTATGGGGCACCCTATACCCTATGGGCAGCCTATACCCTATGGGGCAGCCCTATACCCTATGGGGCACAATATATCCTATGGGGCAGCCTATACCATATGGGGCAGCCTAGAGCCTATGGGGCACAATATATCCTATGGGGCACCCTATACCCTATGGGCAGCCTATACCCTATGGGGCAGCCCTATACCCTATGGGGCACAATATATCCTATGGGGCAGCCTATACCCTATGGGGCAGCCTAGAGCCTATGGGGCACAATATATCCTATGGGGCAGCCCTATATCCTATGGGGCAGCCCTATACCCTATGGGGCAGCCTAGAGCCTATGGGGCACAATATATCCTATGGGGCAGCCCTATACCCTATGGGGCAGCCTAGAGCCTATGGGGCACAATATATCCTATGGGGCACCCTATACCCTATGGGGCAGCCTAGAGCCTATGGGGCAGCCCTATACCCTATGGGGCACAATATATCCTATGGGGCACGCTAGAGCATATGGGCAGCCTAGAGCATATGGGGCACAATATATCCTATGGGGCAGCCCTATACCCTATGGGGCAGCCTAGAGCCTATGGGGCACCCTATACCCTATGGGGCAGCCCTATACCCTATGGGGCACCCCTATATCCTATGGGGCACCCCTATACCCTATGGGGCACCCCTATATCCTATGCCCCCCCCTTTTGTGCCCCCCCCTTTACTGCCCCCCCCACTCCCCCCCCCCACTTTGGTTCCCCCCCTTTGTGCCCCCCCTTTTAATTCCCCCCCCTTTTTACCCCCCCCTTTTGAGTCCCTCCCATTTTATGCCCCCCCCCCTTTTGCACCCCCTCTTTAACTGCCCCCCCCCCTTTGGTTCCCCCCCATTTTATGCCCCCTTTTTCTGCCCCCCCCTTCTCCCCCCCCCACTTTGGTTCCCCCCCCTTTTTTCCCCCCCTTTTTACCCCCCACTTTGGTTCCCCCCCCTTTGATTCCCCCCATTTTACACCCCCCTTTTTACCCCCCCCATTTTGTGTCCCCCCCATTTTATGCCCCCCCCTTTACTCCCCCCCCCCACTTTGGTTCCCCCCCCTTTGATTCCCCCCCATTTTACACCCCTCTTTTTACCCCCCCCATTTTATGTCCCCCCCATTTTGTGTCCCCCCCATTTTATGCCTCCCCCCTCACTTTGGTTCCCCCCCCCTTTGTGCCCCCCCATTTTAATACCCCCCCTTTTTACCCCCCCCACTTTGGTTCCCCCCCCTTTGATTCCCCCCCATTTTACACCCCCCTTTTTACCCCCCCCATTTTGTGTCCCCCCCATTTTATGCGCCCCCCTTTACTCCCTCCCCCCCTTTGTGCCCCCCCCTTTTAATTCCCCCCCATTTTACACCCCCCTTTTTACCCCCCCCCATTTTATGCCCCCCCTTTATGCCCCCCCCACTTTGGTTCCCCCCTTTGTGCCCCCCCCTTTTAATTCCCCCCCTTTTTACCCCCCCTTTTTATGCCCCCCCCCTTTACTCCCCCCCCTCACTTTGGTTCCCCCCCCTTTGATTCCCCCCCATTTTACACCCCCCATTTTGTGTCCCCCCCATTTTATGCCCCCCCCTTTACTCCCCCCCCACACTTTGGTTCCCCCCCTTTTGATCCCCCCCATTTTATGCCCCCCTTTTTACCCCCCCATTTTGTGCCCCCCCATTTTATGCCCCCCCCTTTACTCCCCCCCTCACTTTGGTTCCCCCCCTTTACTGCCCCCCCCCCACTTCCCCTCCCCCCCACTTTGGTTCCCCCCCTTTTAATTCCCCCCCCATTTTACGCCCCCCTTTTTACCCCCCCATTTTGTCCCCCCCCCCTTTTTGCCCCCCTTTACTCCCTCCCCCACTTTGGTTCCCCCCCCCTTTGATTCCCCCCCCATTTTACACCCCCCTTTTTACCCCCCCATTTTATGCCCCCCCCTTTACTCCCCCCCCTCACTTTGGTTCCCCCCCCTTTTAATTCCCCCCCATTTTACACCCCCCTTTTTACCCCCCCCATTTTGTGCCCCCCCATTTTATGCGCCCCCCTTTACTCCCCCCCCCCCACTTTGGTTCCCCCCCCTTTGATTCCCCCCCATTTTACACCCCTCTTTTTACCCCCCCCATTTTACACCCCCCATTTTATGTCCCCCCCATTTTGTGTCCCCCCCATTTTATGCCTCCCCCCTCACTTTGGTTCCCCCCCCCTTTGTGCCCCCCCATTTTAATTCCCCCCCCCTTTTTACCCCCCCCACTTTGGTTCCCCCCCTTTTAATTCCCCCCCATTTTACACCCCCCTTTTTCCCCCCCCCATTTTGTGTCCCCCCCATTTTATGCCCCCCCTTTACTCCCCCCCCTCACTTTGGTTCCCCCCCTTTGTATCCCCATTTTAATTCCCCCCCCTTTTTACCCCCCCCTTTTTATGCCCCCCCCCCCTTTACTCCCCCCCCTCACTTTGGCTCCCCCCCCTTTGATTCCCCCCCCATTTTACACCCCCCATTTTGTGTCCCCCCCATTTTATGCCCCCCCCTTTACTCCCCCCCCTCACTTTGGTTCCCCCCCTTTGTCCCCCCCCCTTTTAATTTCCCCCCCCCTTTTTACCCCCCCCATTTTATGCCCCCCCCTTTACTCCCCCCCCCACTTTGGTTCCCCCCCCTTTGATTCCCCCCCATTTTACACCCCCCTTTTTACCCCCCCATTTTGTGTCCCCCCCCATTTTATGCCCCCCCTTTACTCCCCCCCCTCACTTTGGTTCCCCCCCTTTGTCCCCCCCCCTTTTAATTCCCCCCCTTTTTACCCCCCCCTTTTATGCCCCCCCCTTTACTCCCCCCCCTCACTTTGGTTCCCCCCCCCTTTGATTCCCCCCATTTTACACCCCCCTTTTTACCCCCCCATTTTATGCCCCCCCCCTTTACTCCCCCCCCTCACTTTGGTTCCCCCCCTTTTAATTCCCCCCCATTTTACACCCCTCTTTTTACCCCCCCCATTTTGTGTCCCCCCCATTTTATGCCCCCCCCCTTTACTCCCCCCCCCCCACTTTGGTTCCCCCCCCTTTGATTCCCCCCATTTTACGCCCCCTTTTTACCCCCCCCATTTTATGTCCCCCCCATTTTGTGTCCCCCCCATTTTATGCCCCCCCCCCCCCCTCACTTTGGTTCCCCCCCCCCAGGACGGGCGCCTGCTGCAGGAGTTCAACAAGATCGAGCCCCCCCTCATCTTCGAGTGCAACCAAGCCTGCACCTGCTGGCGCAGCTGCAAGAACCGCGTGGTGCAGAGCGGCATCAAGTGAGCCAAAAACACCCCAAAACACCCCAAAAACGGCCAAAAACACCCCAAAAATGAGCTCGGGGACCCCAAAAACCTACCCGGGGGCACCAAAAATGGCCAAAAGGACCCAAAATCACCCAAAATCGACCCAAAAATGAGACCTGGATGGGCTGGGGGAGAAGAGTGGTATCAATTGAGCCAAAAATGACCAAAATCACCCCAAAAACGACCCAAAGTCACCCCTAAAACACCCAAAATCACCCAAAATGACCCAAAATCACCCCAAAAATGAGCTCGGGGACCCCAAAAACCTACCCGGGGACACCAAAAACGGCCAAAAGGACCCAAAATCACCCAAAATCGACCCAAAAATGAGACCTGGATGGGCTGGGGGAGAAGAGTGGTATCAATTGAGCCAAAAATGACCAAAATCACCCCAAAAACGACCCAAAGTCACCCCTAAAACACCCAAAATCACCCAAAATGACCCAAAATCACCCCAAAAATGAGCTCGGGGACCCCAAAAACCTACCCGGGGACACCAAAAACGGCCAAAAGGACCCAAAATCACCCAAAATCGACCCAAAAATGAGACCTGGATGGGTTGGGAGAGAAGAGTGGTATCAAGTGAGCCAAAAATGTCCAAAAACACCCCCAAAACGACCCAAAACACCCCTAAAACACCCAAAATCACCCCAAAAACACCCAAAATCACCCAAGATGACCCAAAAACACCCCAAAAACCTACCCGGGGACACCAAAAATGGCCAAAAGGACCCAAAATCACCCAAAATCGACCCAGAAATGAGACCTGGATGGGTTGGGGGAGAAGAGTGGCATCAAGTGAGCCAAAATGCCCCAAAACACCCCAAAATCACCCAAAATCACCCCAAAAACACCCAAAATCACCCAAAATGACCCCAAAACACCCCAAAAATGAGCTCAGGGACCCCAAAAACCTCCCCGGGGACACCAAAAATGGCCAAAAGGACCCAAAATCACCCAAAATCGACCCAAAAATGAGACCTGGATGGGTTGGGAGAGAAGAGTGGTATCAAGTGAGCCAAAAATGTCCAAAAACACCCCCAAAACGACCCAAAACACCCCTAAAACACCCAAAATCACCCCAAAAACACCCAAAATCACCCAAGATGACCCAAAAACACCCCAAAAACCTACCCGGGGACAGCAAAAACGGCCAAAAGGACCCAAAATCACCCAAAATCGACCCAAAAATGAGACCTGGATGGGCTGGGGGAGAAGAGTGGTATCAATTGAGCCAAAAATGACCAAAATCACCCCAAAAACGACCCAAAGTCACCCCTAAAACACCCAAAATCACCCAAAATGACCCAAAATCACCCCAAAAATGAGCTCGGGGACCCCAAAAACCTACCGGGGACACCAAAAACGGCCAAAAGGACCCAAAATCACCCAAAATCGACCCAAAAATGAGACCTGGATGGGTTGGGGGAGCAGAGAGGCATCAAGTGAGCCAAAAACACCCCAAAACACCCCAAAAACACCCAAAATCACCCCTAAAACACCCAAAATCACCCCTAAAACACCCAAAATCACCCAAGATGACCCAAAAACACCCCAAAAACCTCCCTGGGGACACCAAAAATGGCCAAAAGGACCCAAAATCACCCAAAATCGACCCAAAAATGAGACCTGGATGGGCTGGCATCAAGTGAGCTAAAACAGCCAAAATCAGCCCAAAAACACCCAAAACACCCCAAAAATGAGCTCAGGGACCCCAAAAACCTCCCCGGGGACCCCAAAAACGCCCAAAAACGCCCCAAAATCCCTTCCCCCCCCCCTCGCAGTTCCCATTGGTCCGTCCGGATCCCGTTCCCCCTTCACATCCCCATTGGTCCGTCCCCATTTCGGTCCCCCCCGTCCCCAGTTCCCATTGTTCCGTTCCGATCCCTTTCCCCCATTGGTCCGTCCGGATCCCGTTCCCCCTTTACAGCCCCCATTGGTCCGTCCCCATTTCGGTCCCCCCCGTCCCCAGTTCCCATTGTTCCGTTCCGATCCCTTTACAGCCCCCATTGGTCCGTCCGGATCCCGTTCCCCCTTCACAGCCCCCATTGGTCCGTCCCCATTTCGGTCCCCCCCGTCCCCAGTTCCCATTGTTCCGTTCCGATCCCTTTCCCCCATTGGTCCGTCCGGATCCCGTTCCCCCTTCACATCCCCATTGGTCCGTCCCCATTTCGGTCCCCCCCGTCCCCAGTTCCCATTGTTCCGTTCCGATCCCTTTCCCCCATTGGTCCATCCGGATCCCGTTCCCCCTTCACATCCCCATTGGTCCGTCCCCATTTCGGTCCCCCCCGGACCCACAACCCCCATTGTTCCGTTCCGATCCCTTTCCCCCTTTACAGCCCCCATTGTTCCGTTCCGATCCCTTTACAGCCCCCATTGGTCCGTCCGGATCCCGTTCCCCCTTCACAGCCCCCATTGGTCCGTTCCCATTTCGGTCCCCCCCGGACCCACAGCCCCCATTGTTCCGTTCCGATCCCTTTCCCCCATTGGTCCGTCCGGATCCCGTTCCCCCTTCACAGCCGCCATTGGTCCGTCCCCATTTCGGTCCCCCCCGGACCCACAGCCCCCATTGTTCCGTTCCGATCCCTTTCCCCCATTGGTCCGTCCGTCCCCCCATTTACGCCCCTTGTCCGTCCCCCATTTCGGTCCCCCCGATCCCCCCCCCCCCATGTCCCCCAGTTTTGGGGTCCCCGCCCCCCGGCCTCACTCGCAGATGGAAGGTCCCCGGGGG